CATTTCTTCTGTTTGTATTTGAGATGAACAGTGTCCAGATTGGCACAATCTTTTTGCATTATATGGTTGAAGACAGTTGAATCTTGATGGAATTAGTCAATTAGGAAACAATATGCTATTTGTAGCCACTTCAATCATCTCTTCCCTTAGTAGTCCCATTATTTGATTTTTATGAAAAAAATAAAATGCTGCTGTATTAAAATACAGAATATAGTTATATTTGTATCTCATTGGATTGGAAAGTATGATAGTACTTTATGGTAAAAATGATAACAGTTCTATTTTCAATTATTGCAGTGCAGGTTTCCAGGGAGAGGAATATATTAATATCAAACATCTTATGCATGTTATTGACATCATTGTAGATACATCCTTTGGGGCTACATTGTTAAAAGTATAAATAACATGAAGCTGAGTGACCTTTAGAACTGAAAGAATGGACAGTTTAGTTTTTGTCAGCATGTATTTTAAGAAAAACTTGTATACCTTGATTAAAGAAAATTAGACTGCTTTATTTCAGCATTTACTCTTTATTATATGTGATCAATGTATTTTATTGTAGTCACTAGAAATGAATGCAAAATAGTGATTGTAAATGTAAAACAATATCCACAAACTAGCATTTAAGTAGCACCTGGATTTTTGTTTAGTTAGAAAATATAGAGCTAAGTATAAATTTAATAATTCCCCCACCTCAAGGAGATCAAAGATTTAGTCATGTGATTACAATGCATAACTGTCATATATTATTTTTAGGTTGCTCCAGAAGAATACAAAGCCACGATATCCAGGTTAAACAGTGTATTGAAAAAAACCTTACCGGTTAATGTCAAGTGGTTATTGTGTGGTTGTGTGTTTTGCTGTTGTACATTTGGATGTTCACTTTGGCCTGTGATATGCCTTAGCAAAAGAGTAAGCTCACATATTTAATTCTTCTCATTTAACTTTTACATCATATAACCCATAGAAACTTTTTATTAATGTCTTGAAAATTGTGTCAAGTAACACAGGAACATATTTTTCTTTTTTATCTAAAAAGATGTGTTTGATAAGGGATACTCATGGTTGTTTTGTAGGATTGTTGAGAGCAGTAAGTTTTTAATGCTTTAACCATCTTTCTATAAGTAGGTCAATGTGTGCATGTCATGAGAGAGTTACATTCAAAATTTTATTAAACTACTTTATTATCATTGTATACAAATAAACTTGGCATCAAAATGTAGTTAATAAATCAAATTTTAACATTATATAAATTTTAAGTTCCCATAAGAAAATATTAAAAAAAAACAAATCCTCAATCTTCCCTTGTATGAGAATTGTGACATTTGTTCTCTTAGTTTCCCTCTTTAATTTATTTATCACCCCTTTTCTATAGCCTTCAATCTTATCTGGTTACAGTGCCATAAACTAGAAAATCACATTCCTCTTGCCACACCCACCTATCACAACCTCTCCTTCAAAAATTGCCAGTAGTTCTCTCTGATGTATTATACTACATTATTTATAACCAGTAGAAAGTTAGAGTTCTTATCTATCAAATAACATGTATTATGTTGTTTTCGGTACAGGGTATTGTATACTTTGCTTTCAGTTTGAAAATTTCTCTCATGGTATTCATATGGACAAGCTTAGCTAAATTTTCAAAGGATCTTATTGCATAGTTAGAAAACCAGACAAATTATGATGGTTGTAGGACATTATTTGCTTTGTGCTTGTTATTATTCTATGCATATTTAATTAAGTAAAATTATTTAGTGTACTAGTAACATTAATGTAAAAAAAAGTAGACTTATCTTTCATTGACAGTTGATAGCAAAAAAATGAGGACATTGGTAAGTACCATATTTTTTGTTTTTCATATATATATATATATATATATATTCTTTATTGATTATCATAAAAGTAACTAAAATGTAAAAATTAGAAACATTAGATTAGATAAGGACCGATGTAATTCAGTATGGTAGCTTAAGCTAAGTGTTTGCTGAATTATTTACAACTTGTATGGTGGGATTATTAGTTAGACACGAGTCACAGGGGAGTAAAACAATAAAATTTAAGTATAAACAGATGTATACTTATATATGCTGTAAGCTATTTAGCATAAATAATTGTAGTTTCCTCTTACAATTTGCAGTCATTCTCAGGAGAAAAAGGGGTAATTTGGATTTTTTTTAAGGTGGTTATGTGGTCGATCAAATTGGCCAAATGTGTATAAAGCTAGAGTAGAGAAAATAACAGATAAAATAAAAATTTTACTGAAAAACAAATGTTTGATATTTATTTAATAGGTCTTAGAGATTGTGCAAATGAAATTTAATAATTTCTGATATGGTACATTACCTTCACTCACATGAATATCTATTCTTGTTTAGTGCTGCCATCTATATGAAAAAATTTTTTCACAAGCCTTGAGCTTCCATGTACCTTACAATCGACTGAATCAAATGCATCTCGCATGCAAATCATCATGCGACAACCCTCCACTAATAAGAGTGCAACACACACTGCTGACACGTGACTCCCTCTATTTGATTCTACCAAACTATCACTTCTTGTTTGGCAGTACTCATGTTGTAATGTTTAATTTTTTTCCATATATTTGTATCAATTTCTCTCAACAAGTTTACTATTTATTATAGAATAGTAATATTTGTAACTTTTTGAGTTATTCCAAAGTGGAATTATTTTATATTTCTTTCTGTCAACACAGTTGTGTTTGGTTATTCATTTTGAATTCTGAATTCTAAGTTACCACTTCGGAGGTTATATGTTCTATCAGCACATTTACAGTCTTCAGATGATGGTACTACATGGGGAGATTATTGGTTTTACTTCATCGGGAGACTGATTGTCCAATGAGCTGATCTTTGTTGGGCCTCAACTCATGTTTGGGGATTCAAGTATTTTGAAATACAGTCCGCCAAGTTTGGAAAGATAAGACATTATACTGTTATTATTAATATTATTATCTGTAATTATTTGGGTTCCATAACATAAGTTTCATTGGATTGGTCAATTCTCATAGTTAAGTTCATGTTCAAAATTAGGCTTAGTTGTATCTTTTGACCTATACCATTCACTTAAGCTTACCACGGATCTGTTACTTTAGGACTACCTGCAATTCATCTTACTGGTATATCAATCATTATTTTAACTCTATTGTTTTTTTTTCCATACAGCTCATCTCATACATATGTTATTGTAAATACATGCTTACTTCATTTTACAAAATAATGTCTATTTCATGTTCATTATTTATTATCTTTTATACTTTTTCCTATTAACTTGGTTTGTGTGAAAACCTTGAGCCTGGGTCCGCACAAACTTCTCCCAATATTGTACATACTTATTGTTAGGTTAGGGTTTTTAATTTAGAGCCTAGTGATATACTTTGTCATGTACTGTTAACAAGTGCCTGTTATTTTCAGTTTCCTGTAGTTATACTTACAGGTTAATCAATTATTAGGTTAAATATCTTGTTTTCTTCAACACATAACATCTAATACATATGTTTATTTCACAATTTCTTAACAGTAATGTATCGACTATTTTCGTCATTCTTTATGATCTACACTTTTTACCATTGATTTCATTTGTGAGGGCCCCTAGGGGCTGAGGTCTACCCTACCTGCTCCCAGTATTGCACATCTTCCTCCTACAATGACTGAACCCATTTCAATGATATAGATTTTGTCAGTTTTCCTCCACCTGATTATGGATTACCTTCCCAGGCTTCTACTGCAGAATCTGCTAGGCCTGTCTCAGCTTTTTGTAGACACATTTCACAGTGTATTCTCTTTCTTTTTCTGACATTGTTTCATGATGATCAGTTTTGTCTCTCTTTTGAGAGTGAGAACTTGCAAGCCTCGCCCTACACAGGGTTTGATTCTTTTTTCCTTAGCTTAGCATCAGGCAGATTTTCTTCTTGATTATATGTCATTCAGATCTCTGTTAATCCTATCCATTTTATTCCCTACCTAGTTTTTCAGCTTTGTATTACCCTAACCACACTCCTTTCCACCTCCTTTCCTTGGTGTTCCATTTATATTTAGGGATTTTTGTAGAATACCTCTTCCTTTACTCCATGTTGGGGCATTTGCCATTGTCACAATTTAAAAATCTGATCTGCACCAATTGTCAAAATAAAAGGCTTTTAGTTATATTTCTTAATATTATAAATATATATATATATATATACTATGTTATTGTTGGATTCTTAGGATTGTTGTTGGCTTAGGATTCTTTTACGGTAGGTGTCTGTGTCTTGTTAGTGATAAATTCAATGATATATAAACAGCACGCACTTCACTTGTTTTCAAAATAATATATATATATATATATTCAGAACAAGTTAAACGTATGTACAACAAACTCTTGAACACTATAGATATTATAGGCATATCATAAACACTAGATATGTAGTTCTCTCCTTCTTGTCAAAAGTCCACTTAAGTCTATTCAATTACTTTAGAATTTCAGTTGACAAGCTGAACTATCTTCTCTATTATTATCACACTAGTATTCTGTGTGTGATTCACTTATAGTTGTGGTGTAAGTTACCGTAATCATTTAGTCATTTTTTTTCTGAAGATCCTCTGTTCCTTTTGTCAAAGTGCACTCAGGCTGATTCAATTACTTTAGAACTGCACTTTGATGGAATAATTCTTCTTCTTATCTCTTGTTAGCCTTACTCTAACATATTAAGTGTTAGGCCTATCACTTCTATGGTAGTTGACCTTTCCTTTTGTAACTTTGCTTTCTTCTGCTGTTGTCTGTCTGCTGCTTCCCACTTGTCCCATGCTGTTTATATCTTTATCACTTAATCGCCTGTCCACCTTCTTTATTCTCGACATTCAGTAGTCTCAACATCAATGAATTATTAACAAAACCTCCTACAATCATCTGCTTTTAATTCTTATCATAATAAAAACTAAACAATAATAAAATATTCACTCACAAAAACAAATCAATCAATAACATCTAAACTAAACAGTCTTTTATATCATGACAGCCTTCTTCAGTTTTTCCCTCCACACGTGGCTTCTTTGCTTTTGGGATCTTCTAGAGTGGGACACTACTGTTTGTTTACCATCCACTGCTAATAGAAACTTATGGTCAGTTCTTTTTCTCCACCTGTACATTTTTTGGGGCAACTCCTGTACACTTAGCATCACATGGGATATCTGTGATGCTATATTCAAATTACTTTTGGTTGCTCTTTTGTTTCATACTGAGAAATTGCCATCTCTATACATTTTACATGGCCGGCACCTACCTGTCCTACCTTTGGGTTTCGCCATTCATCGTGTGTGCTTGATGCTGATTGGAGTTCTGAATCAATCGGTCCCACATCAATCACTTCTTGGGTCTTTCCCGTTCGAATATGTTTTTATAACATTTCTGCTGGACTGAGAATGCCCACAGTACACATTCTTATTTTCCATTTCTTGGGATGCTATCTTAATTTTTTTATCACATGATTCAGTACCAGTTTTGTTTCTTGCCCTTTGGGCTTGTTTTGATTCCGTATGTCTTTTGTGGGTGGTCTGCATTTTACCCAACTTCCACATTTTGGAGGATTTTACCAACAACATTAATTGGATGTCTAGCTTTGGTTAGCTCCTTCCAAACAGAGGTAGTCTTAACATATTCATCTACTCCTTCCACAGTCAGCTCAGGTAGTTGGATTTTCCAGTTGGATAAGTTTTTCCTGTTCCATACCTCACATTTTAGTCTCTCTGGGGAGTGTATTTTTAAACATTTCCCCCTTCGTTGGGACCATCCATTCTCCTCCTCAAATGCAATCGATGGAGTTTCTATAATCCAAGCCATTTTGGTTCACTATCTTACTGCTTGTGGGGTTCTAATGGGATTTGGTTTGTATGGGAGCACTTCTCCCTTTGGGTCTA